GTCAAATGTCAGGCAGTCGTGCCGCATTCGTCAGGTAGTCCAAGTAGCTACACCCACCAAGTCAGCGCAGTCAGTGCCAAAAGTCAAGCCCAGTCCGAGTCAACAAAAGTCAGGCAATCAGTCAAGCTAAAAGTCAGGCAGTCGTGCTTAAAAGTCAAGTAGTTGTGCTAAAGTCAAGTAGTCACAGTAGCCAAAGTCAAGCGAAGTCAAAGGCAAAAGTCAAGCAGTCGTGCCTAAAGTCAGCTGGCAGGTAGTGCTAAAAGTCAAGAAGTCGTGCCTAAAGTCAAGAAGTCGTGCCATAAGTCAGGCAGTCGCTGCAAAAAGTCAGGCAGTCGTGCCAAAAGTCAGGCAGTCGTGCCAAAAGTCAGGCAGTCGTGCCAAAGGTCAGGCAGTCGTGCCAAAAGGGGACCATGACATTTCCGCCAACGACAGTTCCGGGGGTATGACAGAAGCCCGCAGGTACCAAAAGCCCGCTCGCAAAAGCCCGAAGACAGAAGCCCGCAGGCAGAAGCCCGCAACGACAAAAGCCCGCAACGACAAAAAAAAAAAAAACCCCAAAGCCCGCAACGACAAAAGCCCGCAACGACAAAAGCCCGCCATACATTTCTGCCTTCACGAAAACGGCTCTTTTCTAAGGGATTGAAAGATTCCCCCCGGGTTCATACGTTATTTATAGTCACTCGCACGGTACTAATGGACGATTCCTTACGGCAAGTGGAGCAATTGATGTTGGAGGGCATCTTTCTTTGGCTTTAACTTAGCTTTACTAGGAAAGTGCAAATAAAAAAGCCTTATTCTCACCGGAGATCTTGAATCCCCGTCGTCGAGCCTGGCTGATCCATATTTTTAAAGCTAAGCGGATTTGTTAGCTTTTTTTCTTTGCACTTTTCTAGTTAGTCTAGGTCTAGGTTTGGCATAGTCTAGACTCTAGCTTAGGCGTGGGCTTAAGTCTCAGTTTGGCTTGGTTCGCTTAGTACCTCAAGTGTAACGTTAGCGAAACCTGCAGACATGACTAAGCCAAGCCTTAGGCGAAGTCAAAACCAAGCTCCAAGCTAGGCCTCCTTAGGCTCACTGCCCCAGTAACCGGTGTGGGCCCGATTGTCGTAAAAACGTAACTTTCTACTTTTTTGACGCCCTGGGGTCATCAAACTTACCTAGCTCCAACAAACTAGCCAAGTGGAATAACAAAAAAGGGAATGAGTTAGGATTAGGAAACGATGGCAACATTCACCAACGAGGAATTCAAACGACAAAATACAACAACGATCATCCGGGCCCTAGTCTGGCTCCCCGACACTTGCGGCGCGGGGAAAATTGGCGTTATATGGTCACTAAACGGGATTTTGGATTTTTATATACCAAAATGCTCAGCAGTTCAAGCTGGTTCTAGGATCAGTTGAAAAAACTATTGGGAAACACTTTTTGAGCGAGCTATAACACTTCAAAGTTTAAGAGAGTCGCATATGGTCACTAAACGGATTTTCTATTTTTATATGTCAAAATGCTCAGCGGGCCGAGCTGATTCTAGAACAGTTGAAAAAACCTTTGGGAAATACTTCTGGAGCGAGATATCTAGCTTACAAACCGTCCATTCAGCCCCCCTGAAGTAGTACGGTAGCACAACCAAAATACGCCAACTGTACATCGGAAAGAAACGGAATGGTGGAGAATTGCTGTCTCAAGGGTAAAAATACATTGTCAGGGCAGGGCTATCGCTTCGGATGGGCTGCCGCTCTCTTCTTTCGAAATCGAGGCGCCTAAGCGCTTCGCGCGCCTCGGGCGCCCCGATTTCGAAACCCTGTACGAGCTCGCACCCATCCGAAGCGACTCAGCCCCAGGTGGCACGGAAGCCTTATTTTGAGGCTCAGATCGAGTGTGTAATGTCAAGCCAAACGCTTATCGCACACTTATCCATCTTCCCCTAAAAACGGAATTTCCGGAGCAAAAACACGGTATGTAGGGGGCTGTTCGAAGCCCAACTTCGAAGTGGTATATCTCATAAGTGGTACATTATCTTCAACGTACTCCCATGAGTCAGGTTAGGTGAGCCGTCGCTTCGGATGGACTGCCGCTCACCTTCGAAATGGGGCGCCCCCGCCGCTTCGCCGGCCCTGGCGCCCCCATTTCGAAACCCTGTACGAGCTCGTACCCATCCGAAGCTGATCTAGGCCCCCGGTGGCACGAAGCCCTATTTTTAGGCTCAGATCGGGCGTGTAGTTTCACGCCAAACCCATTTCGAACCCAACCATTTTTCGCAACACCGAAACTGACCTCGCCGGGGCGACAAACAGTTACTCATAGTCGACCGGGGCGACGCCAAACTTTGTAGTGGTATATCTCGCTCCAGTAGTCGTTCCCGAAGGCTTTTTGAACTGTTCTAGAATCAGCCTGGCCCGCTGAGCATTTTGACGTATAAAAATCGAAAATCCGCTTAGTCACCATATACGACACTCGCCAACTTTGAAGTGTTATAACTCGCTCCAGAAGTGCTCCTAATAGTTTTTTCAACTGATCCTGAACCAGCTTGAACTGCTAGAGCACTCTTGGTAGATAAAAATCCAAAATCCGTTTAGTGACCATATAACGATTTAGCCGCGGCGCGGACACTCTGCGGCGGCGACACTTGCGGCGCGACACTTGCGGCGCGACATTTGCGGCGCGACACTTGCGGGTGGGGCGATTCATTTGCGGCCGACACTTGCGGCGCGGACACCTTGCGGCGCGGACACTTGTAGGCGACACTTGCGCCCGACACTTGCGGCGCAGCATATATTATTTTTAAATGTTGTAAATTTAGCATTTCTTCATCGGATTTTGTTTCTAATTCTTGGATTTGTGTTCGTAAATTAGCAATTTAACCGGCCTCGCAGTCGGAACTCCCTGGAAGTGTCAGGCAAGCGGGTTGTCGCTTGATGGGCTGCCGCCTCCACTCTTCTAAATCGGGGGCGCCTGCGCGCTTCGCGCTCCTCGGGCGCCCTGATTTAGAAACCCTGCATGAGGCCGCACCCATCCGAAGCGACTAGGCACCGGGTGGCACGAAGCCTTTATTTAGTCGCAGAGCGGAGGAAGTAGCGGCCACTTTCCCTCCAAATTGAGCATTTCGGTCGCAAACCCAACTTTTTATAATTTTTAGTTCACTAAATTCGGATGCAGCTTATCAAATAACACCGGAAACTATTTTTATATAGCTTATAGTAAATAACCACAAGGTCGCGCCGCAAGTGTCAGGCGCAAGTGTCGCGCCGCAAACGTCGCGCCGCTCCCGTCAGGCGCAAGTGTCGCGTCGCGCGTCGCAGCCGGGCAAAGTGTCGCGCGCCGCAAGTGTCGCGCCGCAAGCGTCGCGGTAATTCCGGTCCCACACCAAAGGGCGAAAATGTATGGCGGGCTTTTGTCGTTGCGGGCTTTTGTCGCTGCGGGCATTTGTCGTTGCGGGCTTTGTCGTTGCGGGCTTTTGTCGTTGCGGGCTTTTGTCGTTGCGGGCATTTGTCGCTGCGGGCATTTGTCGTTGCGGGCTTTTAAAAGTTGCGGGCTTTTGGTCGTTGCGGGCTTTTGTCTTCGGGCTTCTGCGAGCGGGCTTTGGTCATACCCCCACAGTTCCGCCAACGCGGGAAACGACACCCGCCAATTTATTAAAAACGACTTTTTCCGCCAACCGGGGTCAAAAAATATAAAACCTTCCAAATACAATATTTTCTCGGTGTTTTTGCCATTTATAAATTCATTTAAGACAGTAAAGACTAGTAAATAAGAAATTATGATGCGGGGGCTATTTTAGGCATCATACAAGACTTTGTACGGTTTGCGCGACAACTCTGTTTTCAAGCAAAAAACCATCATAACTTTGGTATTTTCTTCGGAAATGTCAAAATACTCGACAGAAAAGCGTTTTTAGGGCTGGCTACAAGCATGGAGCAGCCCATTGTGCCATTTCTGACTAGAACAAGTCTGCGTATTTCGCTCATGGAAACTTCAAATAGTAGCTACAAATATTTCCTTCAATCGAAGTAATGCTGATTTACTTTCGTTATAATAAGAATCTGCAAGAAAAACAAAGAAAAAAGGGTGAAACGAGCATTCCAGGGAAGAAATCGTTCATCGACCGAGAACAGCCAGAAGAACCCACAAAACAGCCCTCCTGAATCGTAATTTGTTCCTCACTAGTATTTACTGTCTTAAATGAATTTATAAATAGCGAAAACACTGAGAAAATAATATTGTATTTGGAAGGTTTTTATGTTTTTTTTTTTGAACCCGATTTGGCGGAAAAGTCGTTTTAATAAGTGGCGGAAATGTCGCCTGTGGCGGAATTGTCGTTTCCCGCGTTGGCGGAACCACGTTGGCGAAAATAGCTCTCTCTCTCTCTCTCTCTCTCTCTCACTCACACTCTCTCCTTCTCTGTGTCTCTCTGTCTCGCGCTCTCACTCTCTATCTCTTTCTCTCTATCGCTCGCTCTCTCTCTCTCTCTCTCGATTTCTCTCACTCTGCCGGCCACTCGCTTCCTTTCCGCTCAAATAAAATAAACATTCCCCCATCTCCTCATATTAAACACTTGCTCAAAATCCAGCACTTCGAAAACCACCCCTGTCCTAACATCACAGCATTCCGAGCCTTAGCATTTGTGTTCGTGTAGCGCGAACAGGATGGGAGGAGCGAGAGAGCGGGTGGGTGGTGGAGAGCCCAGAGATTCCCTCTGTCTCTGCGTCTCTGCCCAGCCGCCCCGAGCCTCTTTTGGCCGCCAGCCGCCGTCTAAACCGTGCCCCAGCCACCGTTGGCGGCCCGCTGGGTACCTACCTCGCTACCCCTCGCGCACTATCCGCCAGCCCCTAGACGAACAAAGCGGAATCATGCGGCATAGCCCGAAATTTACATCCAGACAGCTCAATCTCCGGACGTGCTTGGCGATTAGCATAGGTTTATCCGTATAAAATGGGCCCTCCGAGGCTTGCAACCACTTCCTACTAACTAATTTATTCATCTCACCAAATACTACTGATTGTTTAATGGAGGTGCGTGTTGCTACTATTTTTCAACAAATTTTGAATTAGAACGGATCCCTCCTGGTAAAACGCATCGACGAGAGCCTGGTGAAATTCTTTGCGCTGAAGAAGGCGGAGGACGCCGCCGCCGCGGAAATGATTACTCAGGTATTTATTTATTTTTAAGTAGCGGTACCTGGTCAAACATGGAATTGCACTCTTACCGTTTTTTGTAGTTTTCGATGACTAGCAAGCTCCAACAACATTTAAAACATTTTGAGAATTCCAAAATTTTTATCTTTTTGTGATAATTTGACCATTCTTCGGCCCAAAAGCCAGAAAGTTATAAGTCCTTGCATTTTTATTCAATACAATTGAATTCAATTAAGTGCAATTTTTATGTTTTAAAAGTCTTGAAGCTAGCTCAGAAACACAAAACGCCTCTAGAAATCGGGTTAAAATGCTATTGCTTTACTTTTTTACATTCTTTTCGATATTTTCCCTAGTAATTCCATACCGCGCTAAAAAGAAATATAAACCGTTTTATAGCATACCATTTTCGCACCTTTAAAATTTGTCAAAATTTTTTTAACTTACTAACAACAAAAAAACAACGGTATGGATGTCTTCCATATTATATTTCGGTTTGCAGGAATCGTGGAGCCTCTCGCTCGAGAAGCTAGTCGCCATGATGAGTCACGCAGCGGAAAGCAGCCTCCTGGATGAATGGAGGGCTGGAGACGCCGAAAGGGTCGCGCAAGGAGGATACGCTTCTGCACCGGCGGCGCGCATTCAGGTTGTTGGAACTAACTAACGAAATCCGGAAACTTCTGAATTACAGGAAATCTCGATATACCGGTAGTGGGTTTAGGCTTAGGATAGGCTTAGGCTCAGGCTCGGATTTAGGCGCAGGCTTAAAATTAGGCTGAGGGGCTTAGGCTTAGTAGTTGTCGCTTAGTAGACATTTTTAGAAAGTTACAATTTTTTTGAATTTGAGCTTCTTTGCGAGGATTTTTCATAAATTTTTGACCAGAAATTCCCAAATTTCGAGAATCATTATAATTTTGGTGCGTTTTTATAGAGTAACCAAATTTTAGTAAAAATATGATCAGCGTGCAGTAATCTACGCCCTCGACTACCCCTAACTACCTTATTTCTGGACCAAAAAATTCTTTCCCCTTTGAGTTATGGCTGGAACCCGGGTTTTTATGCAAAGTGTCTACACACACACAGACTCACAGTTATATATAGTAGGATTCTAACAATTCAACCTTCTCCAGGCTCTCGTGTTGCATTCGTTTCCCCTCGACGTGCCAATGCCGCGGTGGGCTGATGAAGCCCTAGTCGTCGGACGTGTAACGGCCGAGGAGGACTCGGCTCTTTCACTTGATGCGCTGGTCAAGGTGATCGCATTGTGACTAGGTGACTGTGACCAATGTTAGCCATAAATGCCTAGTGGGCACTTTCATCGTTTTTTTAGTAAAATTTAACCGTATTCAAGTCGAAAACTACCTAAAAACGTAAAACATTTTTATATTTAGATCAAAAATCGTCCATATGTCGTATTTTTTTTTAATGCGGGATATATCAATATTTTATTGCAGAAGCTGGCAAAGTATCAACTCGGCGCCTACAAGGACGCGTACAACGCCTACATAGCAGCGCAAGACGCAGCCCAAAAAGAGCTGACGAATTATCGTCATCTGGTATAGTTTGTGTAACAAGCCTAAGCCAAGCCTAAGCCAAGCCTAAGCCAAACCTACGCCAAACCTAAGGTGATACTTTAGAAAAAGAAACTTCACGAGGACAACAAGATCAAAAAAGATCAGTTGGATGATACGTGCAAGAAGTACAGGGATGCCCACCGTGGACAAAGCCCGAGCCGGAAGCCAAAGGATTGTGAGGTAAAAGATTGCTAAGAAGGACGTTAGGCTTTCTTTTCAGTTGCCAGCCCCGATCGAACTCGCTGACCAACGTCATCTTCCCCGCTCGCAAGGCGCTGATGCCGCGCAATTCGCTGCGGACCCGCCGCCACTGCCAACTCAAGTTCGCTTTCTTTTTTTTTGGTTCTTTAACGTAATCTTTCTTATTTGTTAAAATTTAGTTATATTTCCAGCGCAAAACGACTTTGACGGCTTTAGCCACCGTTTAAGAAATTAGAACCTTGCGAACTTGGAGCTTCAGGTAACACTGGATGAAGGCAGCGTCACCGTGGAGCCGCCTCTTCCAAGTCTTCCAGCTGCAAGTACGACAGTCGAACCTACCGCCGCGCCGTCCACCTCATCTTTCGTCGCCCCTGCTCAAGACCACGCCGCCAGGACGGCCAACGTGCTCGCTTCGACAATCACCGCCCTCGCCACCACCATTCTCAAGGGAAACGCGTTTTAGAATTTCTGGCTCTACTGATTTTTTTCACAACTAATAAATGGTTCTTTCCACGGGGGGCGGGGCACCAAAGCATCATCTTCCCCCGCTAAGAAGACATCGATCCACTTGTGCTGAGACCTAGCCCTGGGTTACGCTTACTGAGACTTCGCTCAGGCTGTGACTTTAGATTGGGCTTCGACGTAAGCTTGGGACAAAGCTCGGCTTAGTCTTGGCTTGACTTCGCCATAGGAATGGGCTTACCTAAGCTAACGCTTTAACGTCGATTTACTTCGGTCGTGGAAGAGTACTAGGTTCAGGCGTAAGCTTGGGACAAAGCTCAACTTAGACTTGGCTTGACTTTGGCCTAGGATTGGGCTAACCTACGCTTACGCTTCACCGTACACCTATTTTGGTCTAGGATTAGCGCTAGGCTCAGGCGTAGGCGTGGGATAAGCTCGGCTTAGACTAGGGCTTACTTCGGTTTAGGAAAGGGCTTACCTAAGCTTAGGCTTCACCGCACCCCCCCGCCCCGAAACCTCGGCTCCCGTACGGGCCTGATCATGGCGCATAAAAACCTTCTCTTGCAGGGTGCAAAAACATCTGACGGGAAAATGGGCCGACCTCCCATTTATACGGTAGTCACTCGCTGTACTTTCTTTATACCCACCGCTACAGTACCGCGGTTCGTGCCACAAATGCGGGCCTGAGGCTGGCGAGAAGAACGTCACCACCATCCACGGGGCCCCGCTATGCCGACCTTGTTCTAAAGTGTACTAGTTGGTTTTTGAAAAGACCGGCTTGTTTCCTAATCCAAACCTTTTGTAGCGCGGCGGCAGATCGGGTTGCCGGAAGGACGGGCTGCGCTGGCTCCTGGTGCAAGCCAGATCGTCAGTTATCACACCCGAACGCCCGTCCAAAACCCAACCATCTCAGGCCTTTGTGCGTTCTGCGGCTTTCAAAAGAACTGGGGAAGCCAAGGATTCAAGTCAGCCGCCGAGCGGAGCGAGCCAGGTCCTTGACCCGACAACTGAACGACACTCGTCTAAACGCCACTAATTTTCGGCATTCATTACAAGGGCATTCTGAATAAATACTATTCCAACAAATTCGAACCATATACCCGAGTCCCCCGGCAGTCGTGCCAAAAGTCAAAGTCAGGCAGTCGTGCCAAAAGTCAGGCAGTCGTGCCAAAAGTCAGGCAGTCGTGCCAAAAGTCAAAGTCAGGCAGTCGTGCCAAAAGTCAAAGTCAGGCAGTCGTGCCAAAAGTCAAAGTCAGGCAGTCGTGCCAAAAGTCAAAGTCAGGCAGTCGTGCCAAAAGTCAAAGTCAGGCAGTCGTGCCAAAAGTCAAAGTCAGGCAGTCGTGCCCAAAGTCGGAGCAGTCGTGCCAAAGTCAGGCAGTCGTGCCAAAAGTCAGGCAGTCGTGCCAAAAGTCGAACAGTCGTGCCAAAGAAGTCGGGCAGTCGTGCCAAAGTCAGGCAGTCGTGCCAAAGGTCAGGCAGTCGTGCAGTCAGGCAGTCGTGCCAAAAGTCAGGCAGTCGTGCCAAAAGTCAGGCAGTCGTGCCAAAAGTCAGGCAGTCGTGCCAAAGTCAGGCAGTCGTGCCAGAATTCAGACAGTCGTGCACCAAAGTCAGGCAGTCGTGCCAAGGGCAGTCATTAAAGTCAGGCAGTCGTGCCAAAGAGCCGAGGCGTCGTGTCCAAGAGTCAGGCAGTCGTGCCCAAAGTCAGGTAGTCGTGTGCAAAAGTCAGTTAGTCTCTTGCCCAAAAGTCAGGCAGTCGTGCCAAAAGTCAGGCAGTCGTGCCAAAAGTCAGGCAGTCGTGCCAAAAGTCAAGCAGTCGTGCCAAAAAGTCAGGCAGTCGTGCCAAAGGTCAGGCAGTCGTGCCAAAAGTCAGGCGGTCGTGCCAAAAGTCAGGCAGTCGTGCCAAAAGTCAGGCAGTCGTGCCAAAAGTCAGGCAGTCGTGCCAAAAGTCAGGCAGTCGTGCCAAAAGTCAGGCAGTCGTGCCAAAAGTCAGGCAGTCGTGCCAAAGTCGGGCAGTCCGTGCCAAAGGGTCAGGCAGTCGTGCCAAAAGTCGAGATGCAGTCGTGCCAAAGTCAGGCAGTCATTGCCAAAAGTCGGAGCAGTCGTGCCAAAGAGTCAGGCAGTCGTGCCCCCAAAAAGTCAAACAGTCGTGCCAAAGTCGAACAGTCGTGCCAAAGTCAGGCAGTCGTGCCAAAGTCAGGCAGTCGTGCCAAAAGTCAGGCAGTCGTGCCAAAAGTCAAGCAGTCGTGCCAAAAAGTCAGGCAGTCGTGCCAAAAGTCAGGCAGTCGTGCCAAAGTCAGGCAGTCGTGCCAAGAAGTCAGGCAGTCGTGCCAAAAGTCAGGCAGTCGTGCCCAAAGGATCAGAGGTATTGGATAGGTCATTGTTAGTCAGGCAGTCGTGCCAAAAGTCAGGCAGTCGTGCCAAAAGTCACCGGCAGTCGTGCCAAAAGTCAGGCGAGTCGTGCCAAAGTCAGGCAGTCGTGCCAAAAGTCGGGCAGTCGTGCCAAAAGTCAGGCAGTCGTGCCCAAGAGTCAGCGGGGAGTCATTAAAGTCGCAGTCATTGCCAAAAGTCGGGCAGTCGTGCCAAAAGTCAGCGGGCAGTCGTGCCAAAGTCGACAGTAGTGCCAAAGTCAGGCAGTCGTGCACAAAAGTCAGGCAGTGATAGTGCCAAAAGTCCGGGCAGTCAGTGCCCAAAAAAGTCAGGCAGTCGTGCCCAAGGTCAGGCAGTCGTGCCAAAAGTCAGGCAGTC